TATATATATATATATATATATATATATATATATATATATATATATATGTTTGAATGTAGTAATGTTATCTTTGTAATCCTCCAAGTTTACTGATAAGTAGTGAGCATAATTTTTCTATCCTGGCCTTCTTTAGCTTGCTCCTGAAGTATTTTAAATCTAAGTTGGTAAAAAGTAGTTTTCCCAAAAGAAAATTTTCCTTATTGAAAAGGATGGGAAACACCACTAGGGGTCACTCTTCGGTGAATAAAGCAGAAGTAGAAAGAAGTAAATAATCCTTCCTTGTCTGTTGTACTTCACAGCGTGAGAGCCATTAGTGAATATTACATTCCATCAGTGATAATTTATTTCCTGCTTATGTTAGGCAAATTAAGGAATAGGATTTGTCTTTCTGTGGGATCAAGCAATCCTTCAGTTACTTGTCTTAAAAGAGGGAACTGTGAACTCTCAAATCTGAAGAGAGTCTGGAATTGAAATTAAAGGGCAAAAAAGAGGCTGTTACTATCATGGAAAAAAAAATCATTAAGGTTGAAAAAAATCCCTAAGATGAAGTCCAACCATCAACCCAACAGCACTCTCAGACACTCTCAGAGGGGTTCCAGCAAAATCTAAATGAGCTTGAAAGCATTGCTGTAACTGTTCTATTGTAGGATAAAATGAGATTGCTTTAATATTGAAGACAGAAGATCGATGCGGAGGTAAGGACACTTGTTGTTATGTTCCATTCAATATCACAGTGTTGGCGTTCCCCTTTTCTAGCGTTGAGGATAATGAAGAGGATGGCAAAATGGCTGATCTCCTGTCAGATTTCCAGCAACAGTTAACTCTTCAGGAATCTTCTGTCAAACTTTGTCAGCCTGAGCTTGATGTCAACCAAACCCATATCTCAGGTATGAGTTAAGATGGACTGTAAATGTTCAGAGGAAGAAGTTCTAGGGATGTTTCACTGACTTTTTGCAAAGCAGTTATCTATTTCATTCTGAAGCTTCTTTTAAATAAGTGAACACAGTATCTCTTACCTTTATAGTTAGATGCGAAGCCACGCATGGCAAACTTGTCTTAATCCCACAACTTTTGTATGTAGAGCTTCTAGTACAGTTTTTCAGGATTAAGAGAATGCTGCTTAAAATAGTAACTTCCAGAAACAAACTTACTTCAGTAAGTTTTTTCTACTTGGACATACTGAACTGGTTTGTTGTGGATTTTCTTTGTTCATCTGTTTTAGTTTGCATCTATTTATTCTAATTGTAAGGTGTAAGAAGAAGGAGGCAGTTATTTTGTGAAGAGATACGTTTGTGTGTTTTGTGCTTTTATCTGTCTCCGTATCAGATTCTTTACAGCAAATGCTTTCAGGTTCAACTAAACCATATAACAGTTAGAAAGGCTTTTGAAGGTTAATGATTTTCAGTGCTTCAACTGCAGGATAGTCACCCCTTCCTTAGGCTTGCGTAGGAGTTACAAATTGTAGAAAGTGTGTATAGGTTATGAACTCTCTTAAAATCAGATGTCTCCAAAACATATGCATTTTGTACAGTTATCAGTTGCTCTTGGAAATCTGTTCTGCTTAAGGAAAAAATAAATATAACAATCTGTTTAAGTCAAAACATAAAATGGGGTTTCTAACAAGTGTGGCACTGTATGCTTGGGAAAACAGTTGTGGGATTTTTTTTGCAAGTAAAGTCAAGGTGTTGTAGATCATTACTATAAAATGATCTCAGGACATGTCATTTTTTAACATTGATCTTAATTCTTTCTAGTTTTATTGTTTCCTTTCCTGGCAGTCCTGTGTTGCATTATCTCCCTTATCTATGTTTTGTGGTACAGTGAAAACTGTTACAACAGTGCTACCTGCTGCAGAAGTTAGTAGGCTGGAGAGGATCCCTGTTAATCATCACAGTAGTATAGTAGTCACATTTTTCTTAAGGGACTTAAGGGAAAATCAAAACATGGAGCAATGTGTTTAAAGCAACCAGTTCCCATTCTTCTGTTATATTTTGCATTTTATTAGCACTCATCATCTTATAATACTGATTCACTTTAGTATAGGACAGGATTAGTCCGCTGCCATATAACAGAAATGGTGAAGGAAAGTGTAAATTCATTCACTGGCGAGTGACTTTCCATTGTATGTTGGGATTTTTTTGTTGTTACATGGCTAAAGGTTAGGACTCAACCATTCTTCTCCAGAAATATTTTCCTACAGGGTGTGCCCAGTATTTGAAACTGGGTCTTAACAATCCCTAGTTCATTTGAAACGTGGAAATGTTGGTGATAAGAGATAATCAAAGGCTTTGACTGGTGAATGGAAAATGTATACTTGTTAGTGCTGCTAACACTAAGAATGTTCAGCCTTTGTATCTGCTTTATCTACTGAAGAGCTCAAATGGCCAGTAGCTGTTTTGTCCCTTGAAGTAATATCTACATCTGCACAACTTTTGTTTATAAGCGGACTATGAATTTAATCATCACAAATACTGCAAATTTGTGAGTACTCTGTAGTGAAACATACGATTAATTCAGATTCATAAAACAAATAAATTCACTAAACCACAGACTCTACCCTGGTATTTACAGCTGGTTACTGTTTAACGTACCTTTGTGCTTCAGTTCTTTTCTTCATTTGATCTCAAAGCTGTTATACTGAGTAAAGTCATTGAATGGATGTGGTATTACAGGTCAAGTCACAGGCACCAGAAAGCAGCAGTTGTTGAAAGTAAGTGAAGTGTAATTCCTGATGATAGAAGATTACACACAAGATTATATACAAGCAAGATAGAGAAAACTCAGGGAGGCAGCAAGTTATGAGAGAGAATTTTAGCTTCATTTCCTTGGGCATTCTTACTGAATTTCTAATTCTAGGAAAAGTATTGTATGATCTTTTGAAGCTTTGATGGTGATTCTGTCATTGTATTACATTTCTAAAAGTTTTTAAACAGAGCAATAACATTTTTGATCACTGGACCTGTACCACAAAATATAGAGTGGTGTAATTCAGGTTTCACAGTGGATTGGTTGTTCTTAGGATCTTCTATCCAATGCTAAACCTGATCTGAGCCTGTCATACAGAAGTATAGTATGTACTGTAATGTTATACATTATGTCAGTTTGAAGAAAGTGCAGATTTATGGACGCTGTGTTTGTGCAGTGTGTATGTGGAATGTTTGGTATCACACCTTAGAGTTGTAGCGTTAGACAACGGGTATGTTTTATCCTACTGTTTTACCATAATTCACTTAACTCTTGATTTATTTTTTTTTCATTCTCTTTGTTACTTTTTTGCATAATAATTTCCTTGTTAAAGATATTTTTGATAGCTTCCTTGGCATCTGGCTATGTGGAAATGTATTTTTTTGTGGAAAGTCAAAACATCAGTTACTGAATTATAGATGAACTATTGATTTGCACACCAGCATTTAACAAGAAATTCTGTTCTATTTGCAGCGTTGCCTCTGGAGGTACTAATGTACATTTTCCGATGGGTGGTTTCGAGTGACTTGGACCTGAGATCATTAGAGCAATTATCTCTGGTTTGTCGAGGATTTTACATTTGTGCCAGGTATTGTAAATAAGTTACCTAAAGTGAAGCTTCTCTGTGTTCTAGGAAAGATAAGAACTTCATTTTTTGTTTGTTTTTTTTTTTATGCACAGACTTTGTAGACTCTATGTGCAGGTAGATGTTAAATCCATATAACAAAACTTTCTGTATAGGAAAAGTTGGGTTGTTGGGTTTTTTTGGTTTTGCATTTAGGCCACTAATATGTAGGACCATGTTATGCTTTTTCTTCCCGAGGAGAGCCCTATATTATGTTCCCCACAGAGCTCACCAACTTTAGAGTATGTCAGTAGTAAGCATCTCACATGGCTACTCTGAAAATAATGCCTCTTATGTCATGGGCCAGCACAACATCCAAAATAAGAAGCAGATGTTGATAGTATGGCAATAGAAGGTGAACCTTCCTGTCAGTATCCTCTTCCATTTTGTTGCCATGTGACAGATGGCAGCAGAGGGGCAGTCTGACAAAACAGTGTCTGACATGGAAGTGCCTGTAAAGCAAAGGTGCATCATAGAATTCCTCCATGAGGAAAAAATGGCACCCGTTGACATTCATCAGCACTTGCTGAACATTTGTGGAGATCAAACAGTGGATGTGAGTGCAGTGAAGGTGTGAGTGGTGTGTCTCAGCATTGATGACAGTGACATGAAAGACAAGCCGCATTCTGGATGGCCATGAAGATATTTACTAGTGTGACCTGCAGGCTTGCAAGCTCTTGTTTGTCACTGGCAAAAATGCATACCTAATAGTGATGACTGCATGGAAAAAAAGTTTTGTAGTTGAGAATTTCCTCTATCAAATAGTGTTTTTGTGCTCTGCTGCAGTTTCCATGGAAATAAATAAAAGGCCTTATATTCAGAAGAACCTAAGTACTTCACTGTCGTAAAAGTTGCTAAAAGTCTTATTTATTCTGCCTTATTTGAAAAAGTTGCAGAATCTCCAAAACAGTGCTTCTTGCGTTGTCATCCTCATCTTGCTGCACAGAGAAATGCCAGGCTGTTCAAGTGTTGTTGTGTACTTGGCTGAAAATCACATTGTGTTCTTGGGTTTTCCAGGGAGGACGAAATGGCTTTCAAGTGCTCGAGGATTCAGGCAATTAATTATTCCAAGTTATGCTACAGTATGAGCAACAGGAGTTCAGGAGTGTTTCTTTAAATTGCATTCAAACAAAAAATGGAGTTTGTTGCTCTGATACGTAAAAGATAAGGATTGCAGGAAAGTTTTGACTTTTGCTTTTTTCCCCTCTTTTTTTTTCCAGAGATCCTGAAATCTGGCATCAAGTCTGTCTGAAAGTATGGGGCAGGAGCTGCAATAAACTTGTTCCATATTCTTCCTGGAGGGAAATGTTTTTGGAAAGGCCTCGTGTTCGATTTGATGGTGAGGTTTACTTCTGGAAACATTGCATGTAGCTGTGACAGAGCAATCAGATGGGTTTTGTGTTTATGATGTTGTTAGAAGTTTTCTGAATTTATTGAGGCTGCCTGGATGTGATCCTGGGCAACCTGCTGTAGGTGTTGCTACTTGAACATGGGATTTGGACCAGTGACTTCCAGAGGTCTCTGCCAACCTCAGCCATTCTATGATTCTGAATTGGGCTTTTGAATCTGTAGCCTATCTGTAAAGACAAGAGGGGAGGTCTAGGGGACCAAAATAAAAACTTTGGTGTATTTAAGTTACTAAAACTCAAAAGTTTTGGATTATCAGTTCTTTATCTTATTTTATGTACTTCATTTTTGTTCATATACTTATTTCCTTCATTTCTATAGGTGTATATATCAGCAAGACAACATACATACGCCAAGGAGAACAATCTCTTGATGGTTTCTATAGAGCATGGCACCAAGTAGAATATTACAGGTAGAACTGTAGTACAATGAGTGAGTGAAATGTTTCTCTCTCTTAAGTTCTTGAAATCCAGCCCTTGATATGGCAAACATTAACCAGTCTGTAAATCATGGTGGAAAATTACTCTGTGTAAAGTTATATGTAAATGTTTTGAGAATAGGTCTTAAGAAAGGGGATTTATTGCAATTTAGAAACATATTTCATCTTCAGTTATACTGCTTCTTGTGAATAAGAGTTAAGCAATAATATTGCTATCAATCATACACAGATTTCTTCCCCGAGGTTTTTTGCTTTAAATTTCTGAAATAATAATACTTTTTAGGAAAGGGAAAACAAATGATTATACATCATTTTTAATCAGTTGTAAGTAATCAAGAGGCTGGGCTTTCTCAGTGTTTTCTAATACCTTGCCATTTGTTCCTCTGGCTGTTTTTCTGTTGTCCTTCATCCTGCTTTTCACCAGGTTTTTGTGTTGTTCCGCTGTCCCTTCTGAGGCTGGAAATGTTAATAGAAATTGTTGAATCTCTTGGCTGTTTATAGTGTCTCACAAACACTGAGGTGGTATCTGAGTAGTGTAAAAGTTGATCAAATCCTGGAACCTGAAAAAGACCATATGACATTGTCCATTCAGTACTAACATTGTAATTGAGAGTTTACCGTGTTTTTTAAAGCATGCTGGGGGAGAAACTTACCTGAGGTCAGGTTGATTCAGGGTAGCCTGTTTGCTTTGTTGAGAAGTGGCAGAATTTGTCTTCCTGCATAATTCTTCATTCCTTGATCTTTTAACCTTCAAAGCTGTGTTTTTTCCAATCTCTTCTGCTGTACTGTATGAAGAAATAAGCTTTCAAATCTTATTTCCTATCAAGTTTCATATTCTTCTGTGATTTAAAATAAACGTATGTTTATATTGTGTGATTTTATTTTTTCAGGTATTTGAGATTCTTTCCAGATGGCCAAGTTATGATGCTTACGACGCCTGAAGATCCGCAATCTATTGTTCCTCGCTTACGGACTAAAAATACAAGGTTAGTGAAATAGAATACTGATTTGTACTTTCCTCTTTGCTTTTTACCTGGCAATTTCTGTTTGCTTTTTTCTCTAATTCTGTATTTGTGCTTAGCAAAATGAGGATAAAACTGTAACAATGTTCTTGTTGTATGGGAGCGACTGAGAACTGCAAGAAGTTTTGATCTTCGTGCCAAGATATCTTTCATTTTGAACTCCTGGTATTGTGTTTAGATTTCCTTTCAGACTATTTGATTTTAAACTTAGAAAGGAAGTAGACGGAAGAGTACTGAAATCACCAATCTAACAGCATACCTTCTTTTGAAGGTACTATTTAGTTATTACTTGCTTTCTTGCACTTCCCTGACTGTATGGAGGAAAGGAAAGGCTCTGGTGGGATTTGACTGAACTATTGCTCAGTTTCTTGTTGATGTTTGCATGAATTCTTAAAAAATACAGATAGTTGTTTGGGGCTTCAGAACAGGCTTGAGCTGTTCACCAGAAATCTGAAAATATTTAACAGTACACAAGACGGAACAGTAAAGATCAGTTAGTCAGTTCTATGTATGAAAATTTAAAAGCATTTTTCCAGAATGTTTTCATCATTTCATAACATCAGTGAGCTCGGTATTTATTGAATGCAAATAGTGATATGTTTCTTTGATTATGATATACATTCTTCTTTCTGATATTTGTGTTATAAGTTGAAGGCATTTGGACAGCAAACATCTTTGTCCTTGATACTATCTTCCTCTTAACCTTCCAGAATGGATGCAATCTTGCTTGGTCATTATCGCCTTTCCCAGGAAACGGACAATCAAACCAAAGTATTTGCTGTAATAATGAAGAAAAAAGAAGAGGTAGGTTCCTAAACAGATTAAAGAAAAAATAATTTGAGAGGGCTTTTTAGTAAGGTTTTTCTCAATCTGAATGTTTTGAAGACACCTGAAATATTTTAAGGCACCATTACAAATGCAAAAAAGGGTTGAAAAATAAATTTCATGTTGAAAATGTTTTAAAAATAAAGATTTTTAAATCTTTTTTTTTAAAGATTTTTAAAACTGTGGAGATTCATCCTGCCTTTTTAGATCTGTAATAATTGTTATTGAGACAGATAAAGACTTGGTTCACATTCAGCAGTGGTTCTTCCCCCTTAGGCTTAGTTACTGCTGGTGTTTCTGTTAGGTAGCTTTAACAAACAGGAAGGAAGGGTGGAAGAAGTCGCTTTCTGAAATCAATTTTTGTTTGTGTTTATATTCCATATCTTTAAACAGAACTAAATTAGTTAGAAGTGTTACCATACTTTACAATGAGTTTGCGTAATTGGGTGACGTCCTCCATCCTCCTTTCTGTGAAAACTTCTTCTATAATCAGCATCTAAATTGATGCATTTTCAAGGAAAACCAGCACCTACTTTTGAGGGTTTAACAGCCTGGTATCATACTTATTTAGTCCCAATGATAAATAGTTGCACTTTGTGTTCTTTCTGCGTCACAAATCTCTTTTTCTTTGCACAGAAACCTGTTGACTACCACAAATACAGATATTTCCGTCGTGTTCCAGTACAAGAGACAGAGCATAGTTTTCATGTAGGACTTCAGTTGTGCTCCAGTGGACGCCAGACATTCAACAAACTTGTTTGGATACATCATTCTTGTCACATAACTTACAAGTAAGTAAATGCAGAGTGAGTCCAAGGAGGGATTGTAGAAATTAATGTGACTGGAATTTGATGAGGCTTTAATAAAATGTTCTGGGAAGAGTAACTGGTCTTGAATTGATAAACTATAATGAACTTTACTTGAAGAAATCCCAAGATTTTGGTAACTTTTTTTCTAATGGTGTGGGAAGTATACCAAGTAGTGGAACTGCAGTAGTTTAGTCATTTAAAGGATTTATGCAGTGTTGGAAAGATATCAGGTTTGAGTCAGGGTTGAGTGACTTCAGTATGATGTCAGTAAAAAAGGTGTAGAAAACAAATATTTATTAAGATCTTCTTTTCCTTCGTGAATGTGTAGAAATGCTTTAGAAGATACCATTATGAGAGTCTCTGCACGTGGGTGATACAGAGTCTTGTTCAAATTCTGCTTTACCTGTTAGTGTGTTGGTGTCCTTTTAAAACTGGAATGAAGATGAGTATGAAACAAAGCTAGGAGGACATGTACTTCCTGTTACTAGTGCAGAAATAGTTGTGGGTTTTTTTGGTTGGTTGTTCTTCTGTTGTAAACATACAAAGTGGGAGCAAAAACTTGTCTGTAGTTTGAATTCATGGTTCTAACTGAAACGAAAGGGGATGTTTTACTTGAAGATACGGTGACTTCAGTGATATCCTGCACTATGTCAAGTTTCAGAACAAGTAATAAAAGCAGAAAGAAGAAGGTGATTTCCTTGTTATTAAAGTTTGCTTGCATAGAAGAGTGTTCTGTGTGGTGTGGTCTAGTCAACATTAGTTTGGTTTCAGAATGAGATGGTGTGCAAGATGCTTACATTCCAATTGCAGTTTGCTGCACACGCTGTACTGTGGATCATGACTGCATAACAGATTTAAATAGCAACTGTTGTCTAATTTAACTTTTACTGTGCTCTTTGCAGGTCGACCGGTGAGACAGCAGTTACTACTTTTGACATTGACAAAATGTACACCCCTTTGTTCTTTGCACGAGTGAAGAGTTACACTGCATTTTCAGAAAAGCCGCTCTAAGGAACACCTTTTCCTCTCACAGATCATGCATGAATAAAAGGTTGTAGCCAACCAGCACTTAAGTTATAAATGTGTATATATTTGGAGCATTTTAAAATTCCAGGGTTGTTTTTTTTTTGAGGGTGTTATTGTTCTCCTCGGTTCTGACTGGCTGGGGTTTTGTTCTGAGATAAAGCTTCTCAGTGTGTTAAACACCTTTACTTTGTGACAAGAATTTGGTAACAAAGTTTTTATTTTTTTTTAAACAGATTTTATAAATCAGTCTGCTTAAAATGTGAGTCTTCATCTCCCTGGACATTGGTTTGTTCAAAAAGAATTGCCATAGGAAATTCTCATTGTCCATGGGACAGTGTTTGTGGTCTTGGGTGAAGGCTTGAAATATGAATGGAAGAAAGTTGTTCTTATATTTGTTAAACTGTGTGACTTAAAATAATTTCAAATAAACATTCTCTTCAAATTAAATTGATTTTGTTTGCCTTCAAGATCTGGCTTTATATCAACATCAACCTTAAGAATAAACAATCAAGGGCAGGCAGTCATGAAGTATAGCATTTAAATGCAGAGGTACATCCCCACCAATGCAGGGATGCCATTTGATGATAAAAGTAATTTTGATCTTGATACGAGTTGGTAGAGCCTGCCTTCTCAATAAGTGGGCATAAAAAGGAGAGGGATGTGGGCAGTGAGTAGTAGGGATGAGTTGGCAGGGTACGTGGCTCTGCTTGGGGATTGTCACAGAGCAATGGTGAAATGCTTGTGTGTGCTGCTTGTGCACTGGCAGGGTCTGATTGCACAAGCAGGCAGAGCTCGCTTGAACGTGTTTCTAATGTGTTATAATCCTTCATCTAACCTTGCTACAGATGCTGTAAATCCTTTGAGCATTTGTTGTACTAAGATAAATTTTGAGGCTGCTGTAGATGTTCAGGTGCTGTGTACTGCTAATCATGAAGTGTACCTTGAGATTTGGCGCAGGTACTGTATGCTGCTTCTCCTGCATATATTGCTTGGGGGTGTAGTGCAGACACTGTTATACTGCTTATTATCATATGTGTCTTGGATTCTGAAAGAATTGAAGCTTTTTAGTGTAGTTTTTTTTAAGCCATCCTGCATAATTTACCTTTGAACATCTCATTTCAAAGTACTAACCTGGACTCAGACTAATGTGTGAAAGAGCTGTGGGAAGAACTATACTTGTTCCATAATTTATAAAGTGTATCTTTGCAAGGAGTTACACAATTAAAATACATCAATAAAACATGATTTTGAACACACAGTCCCTTGCAATTTCTTATTTTGTCAAGAAGTCATTATTTTCATACAGTAAATGATTAGTTAGGAGTTACCATGCGTGAACTACTTGCAGAGGTGCTGTCAGATACTTGAGTTTTGGATAAAGGGTGCTTTTAACTAAAACTTTTTTCTTTTTCTAGCTTGTCTAGTAAGACTTTGCCTACAACCCTTGTTTAGCTCATGCCCTTGGGCTATAAGGCTGCAGTTGCACTATTACTTCATACAACAGAACAATTAATTTAGTGTATTATATTCTCATTGTTGAATTGATGTTTGCTTAGAATGTCAGCCTTGTGTTTTGAAGATAAGTAACAAAATATTGACTACAAGTTTGTGAGCAGGAAGAGATGCTAGTTCCACTTTTACTGATGATGATAAAGGTCAGATTCTTCCTGCTGAGAAATGTCAAAAACTTTTCTGCTAAGAAACATAGATGGTACTGATTATTAATCAGTAATCAAATTCAATGTAATTGAGCTGTCCTTTCAGTTCAAAGCCCTTTCTATACCGAGACTTCTGAGCTTCTGGCGTTGTTATTGTTGGGTTGGTTTTTTTATGTTCTGTTTTTTTTTTTTTTTTCTTTTCCTACCTTGGCCATAACTTTGAAATACACTCTAGGCACAAAAGAAAAACTGCCTGGTAACCTGCTGTAAGTTGAGATTGTTATAAATTGAGGTGTAGATTCAACGAAGGCATCAGGCAATGATTAAGGTTATGTGAAATACTTATTCTCCAAGAAAGTTATGTGAGCCTCCTGTTGAGACCTAGTTATGACTAATATGCTGCTTCTTTTATGTTTAGCAATATGACAAAGTCAAGCTATTTTGTCTCTTGAAATGGTTTACCATCAGCAGGCGCTACTACTGTCTGTTCATGTGCCACTATTAAAATAGTACTAGTTTCAGCAAAGAAGTAGGTGAGGACTTATTATTTCTTCATTCCACGTAGGAATTTTTAATAGTTAAAAGCTTTGGCAAAGTCAATAGTCAAAGGCAAAGCTAGTGGTGCTTCTTTACAACTGACTTTTACTGTCCTTTTATTTACTACAGAAAGAAACTGGTTGGTATAACTGGTTTACTGCTGGCAAGTTGTCCTTAGCTATTTATACTCATAATTACTTAAATAAAAGAATCAGGTGTGTGCATATATATACTTACGCAGTCCTTTTTCCCAAGAGGTTTTTTTCCATTGCTGTTGTTGGAATGTGTTGACTTAAAGCCCTCCTTCCATTTATAAGAGGAGAGAAGATGCTCAGGTGACCAAATGTTATGCTAATTTGACTCGGTCTAATCAGAGATAACACACACGGTCAACAGGTGCTAACATTGGCCTGTAAATGGAGAGGAAAACTAGAGACTGACTCCGCTCGAAGCAAATGACAGCTGTAGACGTTTGCAGATGCTCAGCTCCTGATCTTCTCAGTAGGCTTGAGCCAACACAGGCAGAATTTCATAGGCATATGAGGTTTTTCTTTAAAGGAAGGAAATAATGTAAAGGCTTAAGTACATCTTCAGAACAGTCTGGATTGCAGAAATGCACTTTTGCACGTATTACTTTGGCTTTCCCCCATTACAAATACTAAAGCTTCCATCTGATAATCATTCAGTCTAGAGTCAAGCTCTGTACTTTATGCAATGATGAGAAGGAAGCTTTCTTGGTAACACGACTTATGTAATGGTTTGCTTGAAAGAAACAGTTAACACGTTGCCCTACATCTATTTTTTTTTTTCCCCAGAGTATCTCCTGAGTCCTTAAAATAGTGTTCAAAACCACAAGGCCTTGATGGCGTTGGATTTGGAGAAGAAGCTAGATTCTGTTACTGAATGGAAACGTTGGAGATGGATAAAATGGCACTTTCCCTTAACTGAAACATATTTGAGCTCTGGTGATGTATCCCACTTGAAGGGGTCCAGGTGCTGCTGCGCGACCATTGTTCAAGGCAGTAAGAAGCAGACTGAAATTACAGTTGTTTTTGTGAAACACGCACCCTGTTGTATAGGTAGACAAAAGACATGAGATGCAACTTAGATAATGTTTCTACGTAACTCAGGACGGACAGCCTTCCTGCTTCACCAACTGCATGCATTCTGGTGTTTTCTGACTACATAGCACATCTGCTGACTTAGCGTTAGAATGTTCTGTGAGGAGTAGCTGGGTAAGTTGCAGCACTAAGAGAATTAAGACTTGTAAATTCCATCAAATTAAATCACTCCTCAGTGTGCAAAGCCAAGATAAGTAGACATTTCTTCACATCTTCTTTTTCTGTATGAATGAAAATTCTGCCTGATTTTGTTTGTTTTTGCAGAGGAATTTTATTGTTTTGGTTTTGTGTTTTGTTTTGTTTTTTATTATTGTTGTTTTCTTGCAGAGCAGTGGTACTCTGCGGGTTGTTGAAGCTTAGTAAGCAAGATAAGCTTTGGGATGCAGCTTTCTAATGTGTATTTACTACTACACGTGCAGGAGAATGATGCTGTTTTGCCATTAGGTGGCATACCACAGTCGAGAGTTTCCATTTGTGCTGAATAATATTTATATTTATTTTCCCTTATAGCTTTTTCAGAAGTCGAGAGCATTTCAGGGAAAAGAAAACAAAAAATGCATCAAGCTGTGGGTTTAGACCACTGGGCATCCAACTCCTTAAGTTCCTGCCAGTCAGGTGCCCATGATAAAACAATGGAATGGGAAACAGGAAAGCTTGCTCTTCAGTGGGCTTCTTCTAAGTGTCTGAATCTGAGTGGAATTTTAAGGCCCAAGTTTGCTTCCCAGCGACCGGGAGAACAGCTTCTAAATGAGATCCAAGGCAGCCAGCATGCTAAATGGGAACACAAGATAAATGGGAACAAAAGATGGAATGCTGTAGAGAAATGCAGTTTCAACACAGCCGCTAGAAGAGCATATACTTCCAAAGCAGGGATCACGGTCTCCATCCCTATGTGCTCTGTGTCTGTTCAGAGCCCCAGTTTCCTAGCTGGGACCTTGACTCCTTAGCTCAGTCAGACATGCTTTTAGATGAGGGGTTGGTCATTCTGCCCCAAGGCGTGCGTAACAAACCTGCGTGTTGTAGAACAGCTCTTACAAGGAAGGCGGAATGTCCCCACAGAAACACTATAAAATGGTCATGCACAGGACAGGATGTTGGACTAAATGATCTTAGAGGTCTTTTCCAACTTTAATGATCCTACATGAACGGAATAGGAGAGAGCTGATCCCATGAAACGCATGCAGGAGTGTGTATACCCTCAGCACAGCACCTCCCCCTTTCATGGGGGGAGACTTTAGGCTTCACCACCTGCTCTGTTCAGAAGCAAAAGGCACCAATCCTGTCTCATGTTTTTAAAGATGATGCTGTGGGCTGTCTCACTGCCAGAGGAATGCAGGAAGCTCCTTCCTCTGTTGTTAAAAAAACAGGTTTACTTGGTTATTAATGTATGTTTACAGAGGTGCTAGCATCTCTGATACAGCTAGCAGTTGCAGTTTTTAAAAAACAAACACAAAATACTGGACCTCGTTCTCATCTTTTCCCTAAAATCCAGTATCCTTACCTCCTAACTAACTTCAACTGTGATCACACAAATAGACTGGTTTCAAAGAACAGGGAGCAGACAGCTTGGGAGTGGTGGGATTCAGGGCCTCGCTGTACAGGAAAAGGCCCAAATCTCAGCATAATATGAGGGAAATTTGAGAAACAGATATGAAAGTAATAATCAGTTACTGTTTTCATATACTGGGTTTTAGGTTATTTTCTTATCTGACCTATGCTAGTGGCTATGATAACTTCTAGGGCAGCAGCATCAGAGATCAAACTACAGACAGAACTTAATCTCTTTAGCACTGTGTTGTGCTGTGCAGGCTGAATGCTCAGTCCTGGGCTGCCTGCCGTCTGCAGCAGTGCCTGCAGAGCTGCCTCTGCATCTCTGGGAGATGATGACCTGTGCTCGCTAAGTAATGTGCAGGAGGGTCTGACTGCACCGGGAGATACTTAGTGAAAACTGTACTGAAGCAGAATGTAAATGATTTTTTTCCCAGCAAAGCTGAATCGTTCCTTGTATGGGTTAGTATAGGGATGGGTATCATTGGTCTGACTGTTCCTCAAATGCTTTTCCATTTTTTCTCAGCAGTATGTAATGTGGCATTAATGCACAGCTCATGTCAGTGGATCCTTCTTGCCCCAA